CTGCACGCACTATACTTTGTTTATCTGTAAAATAGTAACAAAAATCGAAAAGTCCCAGATATCGTCGGATCAATAGACGCACGTCCTTCTCCGGCGCGCAAACTCTACTAGCTGCCAGTTCGGATACACGCTACGTAACGATGTTTATCTATTATGCGACTAAATTAAAAAGTATGTTGACATTTTAAAGGTGTTATTTGGGTTATATTTTTATGAGTTAACTGAGAATGCGTTTATTATAAAATTTTAATGTTTTAATTCTTGCTTTTTCCCCTAAAATAAGTGCTCAGTATGTACTCTTACATACATATCTATCTGAATATCTGTATTATCTGCCTACTCTAGCATTTCCTCTGCAACAAAAAACATACTTTCCCCTACGTAGTGTACAGTATGTACTCTTACATACATCTCTATCTAAATATCTGAATTCACTGCCTTCTCTAGCATATCCTTTGCAATACAATACATACTTTCCCCAGCGTAGTGTACAGTATGTACTCTTACATCTCTATCAGCTGAATATCTGAATTCAACTACGAAACTAGCGGAGTCTGGAAGAACACATAGGCTATTTTTTATCCCGGGAATAGTTACGGTTCCCGTGGGATTCATTAATTTAGTTTTTTAATGTTCACTCGATCATTCTGCTACGGTTCAACATATCTTATTGAAATTTGGCACAGATATAAAACAAAGTCTGGAGTACCGAGGGATACGTAGCTTTTTGTAATTTAGATAGTTTGTATGTTTTCTAATATCACGCGGACGAAGTGGCGGGCAACAGCTCGTCATAAATAAAATAAACTTGTATCGTTTCTAAAAACAACACCAATATACCTCCTGAAATTATCAGCATATTTACAATTATAATGCGACTAAATTCAAAACGACCTGCAGGAGTTTTGTATTCAGCGAAAAGGTAAGCTTATACAAAATGGCCGCCTCTCATTTTCCGAGCAGTTGCGCGGGAAGGGGTCCATAAATTACTACTAATTGGGACATTTCCTTTTAAGATTAGTATGTAAATACGTTTTACAACTAGACTTAATAACCGCTTAGTTCTGTGCTAAAAGCATTTTAAGTACACAGTTTACTGTATAAAAAAACTATTTCTTGTATAGTTTATTTTACCACTAGCTACCCGCGACTCTGTCTACGCGGAATTAATAAATCTTCATTGTTCTTACAGATTTAAATGTACATTTATGGTGAATTTCAGCGAGACCCGTTAAGTCTATCTGGAGATATTACAAACATCCATCCATCCAAACTTTCACATTTATAATAATTACTCGTAAGAAGTAAGATAAGCGAAACATCTTAGCTTAGAAAATAACACAAATATGATTTTTTTTATACCACAAAGTGACATGAAGTAACTCACGATTGGGGATAACTCACTTTCCTATTGGTCTCTTACCTTGACTAATTTCCTCTTTTCAACATATTTTAGTTGAGTTATGGTAATTCCACGGTTTTTTACGAGATAATTATTAAGTTTTCTTATTTCTATACTAATACTATAATAAGGAAAGATTTGTATTTTTGTATGTATTAAAATAACTCAAAAGCCACTACTATTATTTCGAAAACTCTTTCACCATTTCTTTTCTTTAACCTAACCGTAATGTTTTTTTTTTCTCTCTAACAATGTTGTATACCTATAACTGGATTTGTTATCATTCTGGTGTCTTGTAACTTATTATGTAATTGTTCCATAACTTATCTGTTGAAGTACTTTATAAATAAATAAATAAATAAATGTTACGTTATCACTGAGAAACATAGTCTATTTTTTTTAATTCCCCAGGGATGAAGTTGGAAGTAACAGCTAGTCCTAATAAAAACAATAAATTAATTGTCACCATAATTGCAGTCACGAGGCGATCTATTTAGAGACAATTTTAGTCTATGCTCCGAGTTATTTATAACCTGTGGCACACGCCGCGCGCCAAACTGAAAATGTCAGACGTGGAAAGATGCGTTTTGTTATATTAAACAATATTTATTACGAAAATAACTACACTAACCTAAAAAACCTAAACACTGTTAAACGCGCTTTTAAATTAAAACCGCAGTTAATTATTATTGATCACACTGAGTTATGTATACTTTATTATTTACTAGTTTTCTGCCGCGACTTCATCTGCTTGCTTTTAAAAAAAAAAGAACGCACAGTTATTCCAGACTATCCTCTACATCTGTACAAAATTCCATCGAGATCGGTTCAGCCGTTTAGGCTACATACACTAACAAACATTCATCCGTTCATGTAAACTTTCGTATTTATAATATTAGTAAGATTTGTCATATTTAAAATCAAATATCTCGTTAGCTACAAGCCAGTAGCTATAAATATGCCAGCTACTGGCTTGAACTCGCCTTACCCTTTTGTCTGTCAAGTACTTGGACTAGTATTGTTATCACCTAGTTTTGAATATGCATAGATATAACAGAGAAACAGAGTCGCTACCTGTCCAAGGCTAACGCACAAAAGGCTGGCCCACAATGACTTGCGTAAGCGCAGTACAGATATAGAGATACTGGAAGCGTCTGAGCGTAGTTGAACCATCTAGTTAGATTATTGAAATACTTGAAATAAATCATTTAAGTAAAGATTATAAATACGTAATTAAAAGTGCAAATCGGTACAGTTCTCAATAGACTATGTTTGAGAATCTATGATTTCTTTGGACCTTTCAACATTATAACCGTGAATAATTAGCTTCCAAACATTTAAATTACTTAAACACTTTTTTTAAATAAAAAGCCCTACACTTACGTGACGCTTTAGGCTATATGTTTTCACGATATTAAACTTAGGGGGTTAATATTTTCGATAAAAACCCTAATGTGGGAAAGAGACCATACGTTGCTGCCAAACAAGATTGCCAAGGTTTATCATGTCATGTCATTTTGACATTTGCTATAGATAATTTGACACATGTAAACAATAAAATAATTTTTTAACATTTACTTGCGGGTGAAGCCGCACGGGAATAACTAATTTTACTATAAAACTGTTTAATCCTTGTCACATCTAGTATCTTTACAGCCTCTAGTTTTGCAATCGTGTACATCGCGACAAACTTGTCACTATATGTTGCAATCCTCTGCATGGTCGAAAATGTTTTGCAATTAAAATGTATCAACGTATCTTAGCGGAAGCATATTGTCCTGCTCATTTACTCTGAAAGAATTGCGATGGTATAACTTGGCGTATGAATACGACAATGGATGCCCAGCGTAATCTGCTGATAATGTCGACTGGTATGTTGAGGTTTTCTGGCTTTTGCCCGCGTCTTTTCCGTTTTAGTAAGTAGTTTATACGATATTCCAGAGGGTCTTTTTTTTTTACAACAAAAGGTGGCAAACGAGCAAGTGGCCACCTGAATCCGCCAGAATGGCGAAGCGACCGCTGCCCATAGACATCCGCTATTGTAAATGCGTTGCCTACCCTTATCCGACAGAGAAGGAGATGCACATAAAGAGGATATTTCTCCTACCTATGTATCTCCTCCTCTGACAAATCCACTTTTCCTTCCCATGCTCTCCTTATAAGAAACGGTCGGTAACGAAAAAGGGACTTAAATTAGGCCTCCGGCACCACACTCATCAGACTGTACACGGAATTGCTTCCACTTCACGGCTGTCTTCTGTGTGGTCGTGGTATTACTGGGGGCGTGCCCTGCAGTGCTAAGATGTTAAAGCGGGCACTACAACTGTTAAGCGGGCACTAAGAATAGGAGAACCTTTGACTAATCTATCGCATAACTGTTGTGCGTTTGTCGATTGTTTCACAACCAATTCAACTGTTTAGTTGCACAAACAAATACCGAGTAGTGTGCGCATCATACAAGCTCATAGGAATCAACGCGAGACTAAACAGTTGTGCGATATTATAATCAAATTTAACAGTGGTAGTGCCCGCTTTAACATCTTAGCACAAACGGGCCGGCACGCCCCCAGTAATACCACGACCACACAGAAGACAGGCGTGAAATGGAAGCAATTCCGTGTTTCGTCTGATGAGTGTGGTGCCGGAGGCCTAATTTAAGTCCCTTTCTCTTTATCACCCTTTTCTTATAAGGAGAGGATGGGAAGGGGAAGTGGATTTGACGGTGGAGGAGATGCATAGGAAGGGGAAATATCCTATTTATGTGCGTCTCCTCCTCCGTCGTATAAGGGTAGGCAACGCATCTGCAATTGCGGATGTCTATGGGCAGCGGTCGCTTCGCCATTTTGGCGGATTCAAGTGGCCGCTTGCTCGTTTGCCACCTTATGTTATAAAAAAAAAATATGTGTGAGTTCATAACTTTTACGCGTTGTTGACCTACATCTAAACTCTCATTCACAATATGATTAAGATGTTTTCATTAGTAAAACTTACATCTCGGAAATACACGAATTCTTAACTATCTATGACATAAAATTAAAAACTAACACATAACAAAAACATAAAAATAACCACTGTAAGAATCAAAAAATCTCAGAATATTCACTACACACACAAACACAGATAAACAAGTTAACACACCGTGACTTCCTACTTAGCGTTTAGAGGTTATATCTGCGTGTGACATAACAGGATCGTTAGAATAAATGTCGAAATAAATTTCTGACTGGGAAGCAGTTTTATATGTAGATTTGTCCGCGACTTTAATCCTAACCACCACCTTCTATGGCCCCACCGTAATTAGTCCCAAATTTCGTTTTAAAACGTACAAATGATTGTATAATAAAAGTGGAACACCTTCCCCAACTGTACCACATTACAACTTATGGATCCCCAACCGTCACCCCGCTCTGTCCCCACGTCAGAATATAAAAGTTTCATCCGTCCCACCTTTTAGTATCACCAATAAGGTGACAAACCCATTATGAAATAAAACAAGTACCTACCGTCCCCTCGTCGCAAAAAATCGGACGGATACTTTTTATTACAACCTGTCTCCACGTGGGGACAGAGAGGGGTGACAGTTGGGAATAATCCTAACTTATATTGTCATTGACTGACCTTTCATGTGATCCGATGTGTCCGCCCGCATGATATCTGTCAGATAGTGCTCCAGTGATCTCATGTTGTCTAAACCTCCTCTCTCCTGAAACAAAAAATACAATCAAAGACGTTTATTTCCAACCTATCAGTATAGACTTTTTCATGCTAATATTATAAAGAGGAAAACTTTGTTTGATTGTAATGAAATAACTCAAAAAGTACTGGGCCAATTTCAAAAATTCTTTCACCATTAAAAAGCGTTGTCAGTGAGTAACACAGGCTATGTTTTATTTTATTTTTTTAATTACATGCGGCAGGAGTCGCGGGCGAAAGCTAATATATCATAAAATTGCAAACGGGCAAGAGGCCACCTGAATTCGCCAAATTAGCTAAGTGACCGTTATCCATAGACAATGTCAAATGCAAGATGCGCTGCATACCCTTCATTGACAGGAGATGCACGTAAAGATATTTGTCTTTCGTATGCGTCTCCTTCACCGTCAAATTCACTTATCCTTCCCATCCTTTGCATATAAAAAAAGAGTGTATAGAAGGCCTAAAATTAGGCCACCGGCACCACACTCATTAGACTGAACGCGGCATTGCTCCAACTTCATACCTCTGTGTTGTCGTGGTATTGCACGCAACAAGTCCATTCGGGATAATTCCCAACCGTTACACTCTGTCCTTATGTGGGGAAAGATGCGAATAAAAAAGTCATTCGTCCCACCATTTACCAGTAGTTCCACTCTCACTATTAAGACGACAGATGGAACCATTAAGAAATAAAATAACTATCAAGCGTCCCCTCGTTGCAAAAGGTGGGACCGATTGTTCTTATTCTCATCTATCCCCACATGGGGACAGAGCTGGGTTACGGTTGGAAACTAATACCCCATTCGTGGAAACATTAAAACAGGCTCTACGACTGTTAAAATGTTTTTTTTTTTAATTTAACAATAAAAGTGTATTACCGCTCGTTATGTAATATGAAACATGAATGAATGACGTAAATACAATGTGATTCTTGTAATTTTAGAACGCTGACGAGCAGTGGATAACTAAAATTGATGATCTGCAGTTCAGTTCGCGACTCACATGAAGTGGTGAACCGATCACAGATCAATTTTTTGATCGACTTCCCAAAAGGTACTCAATTCGTCTGTATGTTTTTTGAAACCAGCTTTCGTCCGCGTGGAATAAGAAAAACCAAAAGTGAGTAGTATATGTGTTCTTCCAGACTATCCTCTACATCTATACCAAATTTCATCCGAATCCGTTGAGCCGTTTTGGCTACAAACTATAACAAATATTCATCCATCTAAACTTTCGCATTTATAATATTACTATGAATTCCATGAGCTACGAATCATCAGACAGTTCACGGCTCAGCTCACAAAGTTAGTTTCTTATTGATCTGAATTGCTGAATTAATTCTTGATTCACCTAATGGCTTAAAGATGTGAGCTCTAAAAAGCGTTTTGCCGCTATATCCTTAACTAGCTGTTACCGTGCGACTTCATCCGCACAAAATTATGAAAATTTAATTTTATTGTTTACATGTGTCAAATTATCAATTACAAATGTCAAAATGACATGACGTTTACAAACCATGGCAACCTTGCTTCCTTGATGGCAGCAACTTAAGGTCTCTTTCCCACATTAGGCTTTTTATCCAAAATATTTACCCCTAATGGCGTGAAAATATATAGCCTAAAGCGTGACGTGAGTGTAGGGGTTTTATGAAAAAAAGAGTTATTCGAAAATATGCTGTAATTGCTGACATCTTAGGCAACAAAGTGTGTGTTTACACTTCATTATAATAGTATAGATTGAAAACAACCCTTTCGAGCAAACCGCAACAAAAATCGACAACCCTAACCTTAAAAAACTATAAAAGAGGGTAAAATATACGCCCACCTGTATTGTATTGGAATATTAAAAGGTTAAAATCAAATGCATAGCAAACTTAACCTTAAACGTTTCTACTAAGGCTTGTTTTTCAGTGTCACTTTAATACGGAAGTCGTTTGTATCGATTTTCGACTTTAAACATGCAGAATAGAGTCGACTTCACCTTGGTGTACTGCGGGCACGCGGTAGCGCAATGCTGTGATGACGTCACACTGCGTAAGGGGGAAATAGGTCAGTAGGGCTTTATACAGAACGCCGCAGTAATGCTCAGGCTAGTGAGAAAATACGGCAGTACAGTATACATTGCTTTTTTCGTACAATGGTAAACAAAGTGCACTGTTTACTAAGCGGTAATAGTAACCTACTTAAATGTTTATAGATAATATCGACAAATGAATTTGTCCTTTACTTAAGTAAATATAGTAACAAAAAATCGCCAAAAACGTACATCTTTTTGGACAATATGCTTTTACCTAGTTACAATTAATATTAGTTTAATAGTAAAATAACTGAATACAGTGCGACCAACATATCTGACCCGTGTACAAAAGTTAAACTAAATTATAATATCCTTGTAATGTAGTTGTGTCACTAACTTTCGCTCGCGACTCCGTTCAAACTAAAAAACAAAACTGAGTAGCCTATGTGTTCTTCCAGACTATCCTCTACATCCATACCAAATTTCATCGAAATCCGTTCAGCCGTTTATGCTACAAACTCGCACATCCATCCATCTAAACTTTCACATCATACTAATATGGATGGATGTTTGTTAGAGTTTGTAGCTTTAACGGCTGAACGGATTTTGATGAAATTTGGTATGGATGTAGAGGATAGTCTGAAGAACGCATAGGCTACTCACTTTTGTTTTTTTTAATTCCATGCGAACGGAGTCGTGGACGAAAGCCAGTTTATGATATTAGTAAATATTTCTGTTCTTTCACTGGGTCAAATGAATTCGTCGCCCTATAGAGATAACAGACTAAGTCCCACAATTCGGTTCGCTTACACGGGACCCCTATACGCCCCTTTTGTCATAGATTAAAATTTTAACCAGAGTGGACATTGTAAATTTATAACATTATTAAACTTGATTAAATTGCCTACGGACGAAATTAGTATTTTAATAAAACATAAGTGAAGTGCGGATTAATAAATAATGTAAAACTGAAGAATTTTCGTAGCATGTTATAGTGAATAAGTATTTTTTACTTAAATGAAAAAGGTTCGAGAATTTCATAACTTTGCTTCTTGACACAATTTTCTGTATATCGAACGCCTACGTAAATTTTCATAGCAAACTTTCTCAAGCTTATACTTGCTTTTATAACAAGGTAACTTGAATGTGTTCGTTTATTTTGTAATACACTTAAGAAACAATGTTATTTTGTTATTAGGATACATATATTATGGAGAGGGGAAAGAGGTAGACATTTTAAAACATGTTTTCGCTCGCGCTCGCGCGTGGAAATTAAAAAGCAAAAGCAAGTAAACATGTACTTTTTTCCAGACTATGCTCTCTACATCTATGCTAATTTCAACGAGATATGTTTAGCTGTTTAGGTGAAAAATTCTAACAAACATTCATTTAAACTTTTGGATTTATAATATTAGCAAGCAAATCTCGCTGAAATTTGTCATAGATGTACAACTACGTCTTGAAGAGCACATATTCTAATCATCATCTCCTCTGCCATATCCTACTCCCGTAGTGTCGGCGCACCGGGTTTTCGTCCTCCAAAGCACTTTATCATCCGTCATCTCAGTCATCACTCCCTTATTGATCATGTCACCTAAGAGCACAAATTATAATGTAGTTTTTTTTCCTTACTGACGTATCACAACCGACAGCTAGTTTTTGACCGACTTCCCAAAAGAAGGAGGTATTCAATTCGACCGTATGTTTTTTTTTTTTTTTTTTTTTTTTTTTTTTTTTT